TATATATATATATATATGAAAAAACTGATAGCTTTCTTATCTGTTCCTAGCCTTCTAAATAAAGCAAAAAAAAAATTCCACCGATTATAATCTTAACATTTACTTTATAGTTGAACATACAAGAAAATTTTCTTAAACACTTTACATTATATAAAACTCATTATAAATCTAATTTAAACTGATAATAATCGTATGTGAGTATAAGGTTAACCATCATGTAGAAATATAAAAAAAAGAAAGAAAATAACTATGCATAGTGTAAAAATCAAACAGGAATAGGTACATAGGATAGAACCAAGCTTGGGAGCACCTTTTCTCCAATTTGTTTCGGCTGGATGGCAATTAAGGTATCGAATGTATGGGAAAAGGGGGAGGTGGGTTAGGGACTTCAATAACGCCTTCTAGCATTTGCATAACCATCCCCATTGTTGGCCTCATTTCAGGTTGCTCATGAATGCACCATATTGCTATTTTCACCCACCTTTGTAACCTTCCATTGTCAGACAAGGCCTCCTCATCCTTCTCCACCATAGCATTTATTCTCCCTTCCAAATAGCAATCATAAGCCCAATCTGTCAGTATCGCCTTCTCTTCCTCCCCAGTCTCCATCTTCAACACACTTCTTCTGCAGCATATAATTTCCAACAACATTACCCCAAAGCTGTAAACATCCACTTTAACAGTCACAGCAACATTCTTGAACCATTCAGGAGCCACATATCCTCGAGTTCCTCGGATCATGGTATTCGTTCTACTTTGGTCAGACAACAACTTGGCCAACCCAAAGTCAGAGATTTTTACATTGAAATGTTCATCTATGAGTATATTTTGAGGTTTTATATCACAATGAATGATGGAAGGGTCACACTCTTCGTGCAAGTACACCAACCCTCTTGCAATCCCCAAAGCAGATCCAACCCTTATATTCCAATTGGGTTTGGATTGTCCAAATAAGACGCCTGCAAGAGTACCACCGCTCATGAACTCGTAGACTAATAGTCTATGGGTTCCCTCATCACAAAATCCAATCAACCTTACAAGATTTTTGTGGCAGGTTTTACCAATGGAACTCAGTTCAGTCCTAAATTCTTTCTCTCGTTCTTGGGCCAATCTGTCCAATCTCTTGACGGCAACCACGTTACAAGAAGCTCCTTCTAGTTTGCCTTTGTAAACAATGGCACAGGAACCTCTCCCTAGTTCTTCACTAAAACCCCATGTGGCCTCTTTCAATGCTTCATAACTAAACCAATGCAAATTTGTTTCCAAAAGACTGGCAGCTTGTACAACCCTTTTCACTTCCGGCTTCAAGAGAATTAGAAAAGCAACCACAACCAGGAGAATACTGATAACGACGAGTGAGGCAATAAGTGATCCTAAAAGAATTGGCTTAGCTCGATCTTCTTTCTTCGAATCGGGAGCAGAGGGGAGTTCCCCGTTTGCATCACCTCTAATTCTTGTTTTGATATACACAAAATGTTTATCAGTGACTTCTACTTCTCTTCCGTTACCAAGGGGCAATCTCTTCTTCCAGCAAGTGTTGCCCCCTAAAATTGCAACAGCACACATGCAATCCCGCAAGCAAGATTCTGCGCATTGCTGTTGAGATGAAGGTTGTATCTTTTCATAGTCTCCCAATGGAAAATTAAAATTTTTGGCCAGATTCATTTCATATAGCTCTTCTGGCCGTGCTTGCACATCTGCTCCACAACCGATGGTCAAATTGGGTTGGCATCCACCAAATTTATTAATTGGATCCACAAATGAATACCCATAAGGACATTTGCAAGTGGGCCTATCATTTTCCATGGAGCAATAGCTATTATAGCCGCAGGAACCGCTACCATAGTCATTGAATATTGCATTGCAAATGTTTTCAGGAACATACCTCACGATGGTCCACCCTGTACTATTGTTCCTCGGATGTGCATACTGCGTCAATACTCCATTGAAGTCAAGCGTTGCTCTGTAGTAATTCTCCTTGGGATCCAGAGTCAAGTTAAACCATTTTTGACCTTGAGGTCGGACTCTAGTCCCATTCTTGGTGTCTACATAGATATCCCCTGACTTATCGAACACTAACTGTGAAGCATTGCCAGAAACGTTGAGTACATAATAACTGTTGTAATTGTAGCCCAATTGAGAAGCAATGGGACTCAGCAAGACATTACCATGATCAAAATAAAGTTGAAACCTTCCAACTGCGTAATTGCTGTCACTAAATCTAGAAGTTAGTTTAGCATTGAGCTGCAAAGAGAGAGATTGGCTAGGTAACAGCGTGTCTGAGGGATTGTGGAAACTTTGCCACACATACTCAGAGTTGCCGTCAAGGAGAACGAAGTTGCCGGTGTCAAGCATAGCCCCTCCGGTAACCACGGTTTGGGGACTCGCTATCTTCATGTTATTATTCCCTTCGGGTCTTATAAGCCAAAGCCCTTCCTCGTTGATCTGCACGTATGATCCCGGTGATGCTGTTTCAAGTGTGTAGCCTGTTTTTGCGCTCCAAACCACCGTTTTGTTGGGTATCATGTCGTACCAGATGGCAACCATGAACCCCGTCGTGTTCCGGTCTGTGTCATTATTCAGTTGATAAAACCCGAAAGCAAACTCGCCCGAAGGTGAACGCCATGCACTCTTTTCACCGGTATAAAGTGGCGTATTCAGATCAATGTTTGCGGAAACTAACAAAGCCTGAAGAAAGACGAGTGCAGGAATAAAGAGGGTTAAGGCAGCCATGCATGAACTAGGATTGATTAAATGTCTAGTTATTTTGTTGATGGCTTTGGCTTAAAAGAAGCCACATACTCACCCGGAAGATACTTGGAAGATGAGAGCCACGCGTGGCTTTGAGAATTATTTTCTACATTATCCACAGTGATTCGCTTGACTTGTCAGCTTTGCATGGGAATGACATGAGTACATGACTCATGAGCTGATGGCTTAAAATACTATTGCGTTGTTGGTTCAATCACAGCTTAACAAGTAATCACCAGATATTTCTTTGCAATTGCCACTCACCAAAATGAAGAGCCAAAGTGCTTTTTGAATCAATCAACCATTGAATTTGTTGGTGAGAAGAAATTGAACGCAGAGGAATGTATAATTTTATCGAATAATAATCTGTTTAAACACAAATTTTATAATAAAAATAAATCTTGAAAGGAATAGATAACAAAGCAACTAATAAGTAACACTAAAAAATTAAATCGTCACAAGACTTGATCAAACAATTGATAGAAAAATTTAAACCAATCACTAGAACATGTTCAACACTTCTCCTTATATTAGTAGTTGACAAGTCTAAACTTCTCTCTGAATAACTCAAACTTGCTTTCTTGAAAAAACCTTGGTGAAGATATTGGATAGTGTTTTTGGTCTTGCAGTACTTAAGCATAATACACCATCCCTCTACATCTTTGAGAAAAAAAATAATTTGATGCTAAGATGCTTTGTCTTTCCATGAAAGATTGGATTTTTAGAGATAGTTATGACTGTTTGATTGTCCACCATTACACTATTTGGTACACCATGAAATTTTGATTTTAGAAACAATTAGAAAGAATAATGTTGAGATAAAAAATTTGTTACTTATTTATAGAAATAGATCCAGTTTAAAATAGATGTAAAATAATTTTCTTAATTTTTAGAGTAAATAGTAAATATACAAAATTTGTATTAAATACAAATATATATTTAATAAAATTTAAATTTTATTAAAAGATAACATCAATCATATTTAAAAAATTATACGTAACTTTTGTCCTTATTTTAATTCTACTCCGTCATTGACTAGTCACCGAAACAGTAAAGACATTCTTATTAATTCTCTCAACCACATCATCTAAATGCCTCGTTTTATTATTAAAAATGAAATAATTTCTACACCATCAAATATTGTCAAAGATAACTCCAAAAATCACCCTCCGATTGTTGTATTGCACTTTGAGTTACAAATTATGAAAAGATCAAATCCTCCAATACAGAATTGAATAAAAGGAATTGTTCACCAATCCTGGTTTACGCATGCAGGCTGTTATTTGATATTTCACGGTTCTGTTAAAGTGTATTGATTCTTGAGGGTGTCGAATTTATGGGTCTTGTGGGGCCAACGTTATTTATTGAAGAAATTGTGTCTACCTGTGTGTCATGTCAAGCCATTTTATGTGAAGTTTCAATGCAGTGTCTGAAACGAAAGCACCCACGAGGTGGACCAAACGAAGTAACCATTTGCCAAGTATCCTATCCTATGTACATCTCAACAAGTCATCCTCATGCAGAAAAGTCTCGCCACTTACTGTTGAGATAAAGTCATCCCTGGTGGACACGGCGAGCCTTCTTTTAAGGCAAAGTTATCAACAAAATAACTTCACTTTTAATCAATCCATGGCACTGCCACTGACCTTAACCCTCCTTATACCTACGCTTATCTATCTTCACCATCTTCCCTTAGCTTTTGCTAATGTTGCTCTCAATTCCTCACTTTCCACTAATGACAAGGATGCGTGGCGTTCACCTTCGGGTGAATTTGCTTTCGGCTTTCGACAACTCAATAACGATACCAAGTTGTTCATGCTTGCTATCTGGTACCCCATGATACCCGAGGAGACCGTGGTTTGGAGCGCAAAAGCAGGCGATACACTTGCAACAGCACCAACAGGATCACGGGTTCAGATCACATCACAAGGTCTCTCCCTCACAACTCCCCAAGGGGATTCCCTGTGGACATCGAATTCAGACGTTGTTGTTTCCGAAGGAGCCATGCTAGACACTGGCAACTTTGTTCTACTCAACGGGAACTCTTTTGATTATGTGTGGGAGAGTTTTCAGAATCCCACAGACACCTTGTTGCCTAACCAATCTTTGAAGCTAGATGCCAATTTAAATTCTAGACTCACGGACACCAATTACTCTTCTGGAAGGTTCCAACTTTATTTTCAGGATGGTAATGTCTTGCTCAGCCCCCTTGCGTGGCCTTCTCAACTTCGTTACAACTCTTATTATGTCATTAATGCCTCTGGCGCTGCTTCAAGTTTTGACTTTGATACATCAGGAGATATCCATGTAAAGACACAGAATGGGACTAGAATCCAGCCTCAAGGTCCAACATGGGGTAACATAACTCTTGACCCTAAGGGGTATTACTACAGAGCAACGCTTGATGTCAGTGGAGTTTTCACGCAGTATTCTCATCCAAGGAACACTAGTAATAGTGCCCAACAAGGGTGGACAATCATGAGGTACGTTCCTGGCAACATTTGCAACGCGATATTCAATGAATATGGTAGCGGTTCCTGTGGCTATAATAGCTACTGCTCCATGCAAAATCAAAATCAGAGGCCCACTTGCAAATGCCCTTATGGATATTCACTGGTGGATCCGAGTAATGAATTTGGTGGATGCCAACCCAATGTCACCCTCGCTTGTGGAGCGGATGTTCAAAAACCGCCAGAAGAGCTGTATGAGATGCATGAGGCCAGAAATTTTAATTTTCCTCTAGGAGATTATGAAAAGATACAACCTTACACAAAAGAGAAATGCTGGCAATCTTGCTTGCACGATTGCATGTGTGCTATGGCCATTTTAGGCGACGAGACATGTTGGATGAAGAGATTGCCCCTTGGTAACGGAAGAGAAGTGCAACAAAATGATAGACATTTTGTCTATATCAAAACAAGACTTAGTCGTGACTTACATATTGGTGCAGACGGGGAACTCCCCGATTCAACGAAAGAATATCGATCTAAGCCTATTCTTTTGGGGTCACTTATTGGCTCCCTCGTTGTTAACAGTCTTCTCCTGGCTACGGTTGTTTTGTTTATTCTCTTGAAGCAGAAAATGAAAAGGGTTGTCCCAGGTGCTTCTACTCTTTTGGAAACAAACTTACATTGGTTTAGTTATGAAGCATTGAAAGAGGCCACATGGGGTTTTAGTGAAGAACTAGGGAGGGGTTCCTGTGCCATTGTTTACAAAGGCAAACTAAAAGCACCTTCTTGTAACGTGGTTGCCGTCAAGAGATTGGACAGATTGGCACAAGAACGAGAGAAAGAATTTAGAACTGAATTGAGTTCCATCGGTAAAACCAGCCACAAAAATCTTGTCAGATTGATTGGGTTTTGTGACGAGGGAATGAATAGAATTTTGGTCTACGAGTTTATGAGCAATGGTACTCTTGCCGACGTCCTATTTGGACAGTCCAAACCCGTATGGAATCTAAGGGTTCGATTTGCTTTGGGGATTGCAAGAGGGTTGGTGTACTTACACGAAGAGTGTGACACTCCCATCATTCATTGTGATATAAAGCCTCAAAATATACTCATAGATGAACATTTCAATGCAAAGATATCGGACTTTGGGTTGTCCAAGTTGTTGTTGTCTGACCAAAGTAGAACCAATACCATGATCCGAGGAACTCGAGGATATGTGGCTCCTGAATGGTTCAAGAATGTTGCTGTGACCGTTAAAGTGGATGTTTACAGCTTTGGGGTAATGTTGTTGGAAATTATATGCTGCAGAAGAAGTGTGTTGAAGATGGAGACTGAGGAGGAAGAGAATGCAATACTGACAGATTGGGCTTATGATTGCTATTTGGAAGGCAGAATAGATGCTATGGTGGAGGACGATGATGAGGCCTTGTGTGACAATGGAAGGTTACAAAAGTGGGTGAAAATAGCAATATGTTGCATTAATGAGCAACCAGAATTGAGGCCAACAATGGGGATGGTTATGCAAATGCTAGAAGGCTTTGTTGAAGTTCCCAACCCATGACCCCCTTTTTCCATGCAATCAATATCATAATTTCCATCCAAGGTTGGTTCTATTTCTATGCATCAATTCCTACTCCTGTATGATTTTTATACGATATGCTCTGTTATTTTCCATTCTGTCTTGTTTTTGTATTTCTGCATAATGGTTACTTGGTTAAGCCTTTTATTCAAATAAGATTATTGTAGCTGTTACAGCATATGAAAGTTAGTTGTTTACTTTTAAGTTTATTACTTATGTTAATAGTTTATTGTGTCAGTTAGTCTTAGCAACTTGTACGTAAGTGACTGTGACTCAATGTATTAAACATAATAATAGTAACAGTTTTTTCTTCCGGTTTACATGTCTGCTATTAGCTCAGTTTTGAACTTCTTGTTTTTTTTCTTCTAGAGTATCTACATATCCTTCAAGATGTCATATTTGGAATAACTTTAAGGAGGAAGCTATCTTAGAACTTGGAGTATCCGAACTCCCCGAGCCTTAACCAATAAAAAAGATAAGTTTGGTAAACGTAAAATTATATGTTTTCTGCATTTTATGACAAAGAATATAACAGACCATAATATATATATATAAGGAGTATCATTTAAATTTATTCATTGTGAATGTGAAAACAAAGAGAACGATATATATAATGTAACATGTTTATTTATCAAAGTAGGATAATATGGACTATTAACCAATCATAAAATTAAATGAATAGATTTGTATCGAAAAGGAATAGATAGTCACGGGTTACGTCACGTATGAATCCTTCGAGTATACCTATTCAATTATCATATTTAGTCATGTAACTCCCTATTTGATCATCTCGGCTACCTTTCTTACCTGTTGACTTCCTCGGTCACATTGACCGTCAAGGAATGAGGCCACTTCAATTATCAAGGTACAAAGTCATCAGATATTGATTAATTTAGGGTGCTCCACACTTATTAGCTCACTTGGCCATGTCGAGATCTTCATATTATGCATGACTTAATCCCCAATTACAAGGTATTATTATGCTTCGGTCGTTTTGATTATCTCAGCCATTGAAAGGTATGTTTCCACCTATGTCGGTGCCCTTATTTCATCTCAACAGTCTCGAATGTTAAACATGCTTATTGACACTAACAATTTGTATTATACAACAAATTATACAATTAACAAAGAAAGTAAATGAGATTAAGGGATAATCTGTCATTAATAACTGCATTACCTAATCGGTAATCAAAAACAAAGTTTACTAAATTCAAATCCATTATAATCAATATAAATAGTCATACAAAATAAGGTAAAATTATTGTTCATTTATTACTACTATTAATAAAACTACTATTCATTTATTGTTTTGTCGCACTTATTCTCTATTATTTATTTTTATTATAATAAATAAATTAGATAAATTTATATATAGATAAATCAAATAAATAATAAATAAATAAATTATTTTTCACCCCTAATCACACCTTTATCAAATGACGTAGTATTCAACTTCGGAATGAAGCAAATGCCTGCTAATAATTTTCTCTTCTTAAATTATTTTTTCCAAAGTTGGTTGGTAACGTAGCGTATACATTTTGAATTTTAAGAATCAATAGAAACAATCCATATTAAACACAACACAAAGCCCAGTCATACGTTGATCCTATTTGTTTGCAAGAAAGAAGGTAAGTGGATTGAAGTCAGATCCTCACAGACTCTAATTACAACACAAATACTTATACATATTTTAGGGAATAAAGGGAATAATATTTATAAATTATTTGATAAAAAATAATTTTATAAATAACACTTTTAATATTTGTGATCTCCAATTTCATTTTAAATTTATTCAGATCCATATTATTTTCCAAACTAATTAGTGTAATTTTTTTACTTAGTTAAAAAATAATTTTACAACTAACACCAAATACAATTAAAAGATTAACTAGAATTAGAACAGATATCTCACCCTTTGAGATGCCTCCAACTTAGCGAGGAGATTAGTCACTGTTATCGACGATGGATACTTCAGGAACGAACAAAAAAAAAATAAAAATATATATATATATATATATATATATATATATATATATATATATATATATATATATATATATATATATATATATATATATATATATATATATATATATATATATATATATATATATATATATATATATATATATATATATATATATATATATATATATATATATATATATATATATATATATATATATATATATATATATATATATATCATTTTTGTAAACAGATAAAATTGGACTTAGAGAATACATGTCACACTAATTAATATTCAAATTTTGAAATTCAAGATATTGCAATTATTTAAGAAGTACAAACAAAAAATAAATAAATTATTATATGTATTATTAATGTAAAATATTTTTTTACATATATATGTCTAATAGATATATATCATATTGAAACATCATATTAATAAATAAGATGTGATAAAATAATCAAACTTTATTGAAATCTATTTTAAAAATAATTTATATTCCAACAAAAATATTAAATTATAAAGGTATATTATTTTTCAAATACATTATACATACTTGCTTCTAAAACATTATTAACAATATTTGTCACTATTGATATTGTTGAATGTCATTTTTTAATAATTTTGTTATTGTTTGTTTACAGCAATAATATTGTTATTGTTGAAGACAGTTTATTTTAAAATTAAAATTATTTAAATTTTTTATTTAATATTAACTATGTTAAATGGTAATGAATTTGTATTTTTATAAATTGATAGTAAAATTTGAGAAATACTTAATCATATCAATAATTTTATAGTTGATAAAGATAAAATATAACTTGATGAATTATATTAAATTAAATATAGATTATAAATTTTACCTAACATCTTATAAAAGAAAATTTTCATGACTATGCACTTAAAGAAGATGCTAGTGCGAATAAAAAAATATTAATATAGGTTTTTAATGATTATGAAAATGAGAATTAAAATTACTATTTATACGATACAAATATGTTTTATAGAATGTGTATATTTTTTTTTAACATAGAATATGTATCTAAAATTTGATATTATAACCTCAAATAATGGATACGCAATCACGATAACTTATGTATTTTTCTATATATTTGTGAATTTATAAACTTTTGTTGGTATTGTATCATTTCATCAATGTATCATACTAATGACATTTGAGATTATATAAAATTATACATGAAGGATCCATTTTTTTATATCACTTTTGTCATGTTTTTTTTTTTATATCAGCATGCTCTTATCCTTAATTAAGAGGTCTTCCTCCACTATTAGTTTTTTTTTTAGGTCTTCCACCAATGTTTTTTTTTTCTTTCTAAAATCGTCATTTATTTTGATATGAATGGTAGCTAATGTATATTTAGTTATTAAATAATTTTAACAAGACTCCTCACCAGCGTTGTTTTTATATATTTTTATTTAAAAATAATGAAGTTATTATTGACAGCGGGACAAAACCACATCGTCATGAGATTGAATGTGAAAGTAGAAAAGTATCAACAAAGATATTTCCCATTTTTTAAATTAAACCAACTTAAATAATGATATCGGACTAGTAACGTCAACTGCAATCAATTTCGATTATAGTGTTTTATATTTATTAATCAATAATTTTGAAAAATTAATAGTCAATTTTAATTTGTAATTTGATTCTTTTATTTTCTAAACAAATCTCTCTGAAATATCTAAACTCATGGAACAAATTCAGGAGAATATTCGAATGTTTTACAAGTTAGATGTGTCGCGCGCCAATTGGCCAAATAATAAAATCATCTACTCAATGTCATTGTTTTAATTTTGTTTTTGTTGTCAAATTTTTAATTCTGGAAATGGTAATGCCGATTTCTTGGTCAAATTCTAGAGTAGAAATTTGATTTGATTTTTAAAATCTGGGCTTATAGTTGAATTATTTAGAACAGAGGAGTTTGGGGAATGAATTGAGAAACATTGAACCAAAAAATAACAAATATTGTATTCACAAACCGAAAGAAAACCTGCAACCCTAATAACTTATAGTTGTATGAGATTGAGGATTGAGGATTGAGGAAGGAGTGAGCATCTGAATCCATATTTGCAGAGTGGCACTGTCCTCTCCCTTAGGGTGTATTATTATTTTATAATCATAATGTAATGATAAGAGCATGGTGCCAGTGCCACACGCATCACAGAATCAGATAACTACAAAGTGGATTTTACAATGCATCCAACGTCAGCATTACGCATTAACTAACCAACAACTGCTCCGCACGTGTGCACTGACCCACTTGACTTCCCACTTGCCCAGGCCCAGTTATCAACCCACCATCACCCGCCACACCCACACCCGCCGCCACCTTCCTCCGCCGCTTCCCCGGCGACCCACTCTCCGACGAAGACGAAGGCTCCGGCGAGGACCGCTTGGACGTGATCCGAACCGGTTCGGGCTCGCCCGAGTTGACACGGAGCGGGAAATTCAACAACGCCCGGGAGCCGCGCATTCGGTAGGCGGCTCGGTCGTAAGCCAGCGCCGCGTCCTCAGCCGTTTCGAAGGTTCCGAGCCAAACCCGCGCCCCATTCTTAGCCGGGTCACGGATCTCCGCCGCGAACTTCCCCCACGGCCGCTGCCGCACGCCGCGGTAGTGCTTCCCCTTCGCCGCCGCCGGTGCAGCCTTCTTCACCGCCGCAGCGGCAATGCCCGGCTCCGGAGGCGGAAACAGATCGGGCTCCGATTTGACGGTGACCGGCGAAGCCGCATCGAGAGATGGGACCCAGCCGACGTTGATGGCGTCGCGAAGCACGCCGTAAAGTAGCATGTCCTCTGAATCATCTTCTTTGAGAGGAAGTTCGCCCCAATCCTTGCTCAAACACGGGTACAACCTGCTGAAACTGGAGCTCCGAGAGTAAAGTGGAATGTTACCCGAATTAACGTTCGGGGCTCCGAATTTGTGTTCCTCGGAATCGCCCAGTAGGTGCCGTCGAATGGAGTCCAAAAGGGCCAAATCGGAATCCAAGCCACTTTGTTCGAACATTTCGTGTCCCTAATATATATATTTTTTAATGTTCTTGTTATGTTGGGACTTGAGAGAAGAGAGAATGAGGGAAGGTGTTGAATTGAAAATTGGAACTTGGAAGGGAAGGTCAAAGGTGGATGGGGGTATTTATAGAAGTGATGGTTCATGAACTTGGACAAGAAACTTTGAGATCAATGGAGTTTAGAAAAATTTTAATTTTCAATTGGTTTACGGTTTCGGGTTTAACTTAAATTCTCTGGGGTGTTTTTTGTTTATGGCGTCTCGGTCTCGGTCTCGGCCTGGGCTTCTCCGAAGGTTCGCATGTGTAATTTGCAAGGTGCAAGTGGGGTTGGATTTATCACGTGCTTAATTTTTCCCATTTCTTCTGATACAATATTTCCATTTTGACGTCATTCGTCTTACAGGCGCACACAAGTTACACAACTTGTTCCTTGTCTTCTTCTGCTGCTTTTGCTTTGTCGTTTTCCCTCCCTTAAAATCAACCAGAAGTTCATTTCCTATATTATTTTTAAAAAATAGTTATAAAGGAATAATTACTTTTATTATTTAAGTTTATACACCATCTTGATCGTAAACAAACAAAACAAAAATACACAATTTAGCTGAGTGATAATTAAACTTAAATCTTTATGCATTCGTTCATACTCAACTACTAGATGAATAATAGTTATAATGAAAATTCATATTTGAAAAGAAAAAAATTAGAAAGAAGGAGATGGCTAGGAAAGTAGAGAGTGGACTGAGATGGGGTGCAGAGGATGTGGACATGTTTGGTGAGGTTTGAAAATGGTAATGCAGGGTGGATAAGTTTCTTGCAAGGTCAATAACCCTCCATTAATTAGTCTACTTGCTAAAGAGGACCCCACCATGCACCTTTAATTTCCATGTCACTGTAACCCACCTTTTTTACCTTTTAGTGCTGCTTCCAGGAAGGTGGTGGTGGATGAGGATGACAGTCACCCCACGAATCACACAAATCCACAATTCACTACCCTTCACTCTTTTCATTCCTTTTATGAATATATGATATAGTATGAGTCATGTGAATATGTACACACTCCAAATAAGGTGCCAGTGCCAATGCCACTATAAAACAGCTATCATCGATATTGATATTCAAGTCGCATATAGCCACAAGTGAGGTTAAATTGAGGGTACGTTTTGGATGAATATTCATTTGAAATAAATGATTTAATTAAATATTTTTAATGGAATTGTAACTAGATAATAGTTTTTTTTTGGTAGATTAATTATATAATAGTTTGTCATACAATTACTTTTAAAATTTATTAAACATTTATTTTTGATAAATCAGGCAAAGAAACTTATTAAAACAAGTAAACAAAAATGACAGATAATAAGTTTTGTATCAGCTTTTCTAATTGTTTCTTGAATCCTTATTGGATAGACATCCAACTTCTTTATCCAAAAGAGTGATCACGTTATATTCTGTACACGTTAAACTTTGAGTTTAATTATGTGTTGACAAAATTCTGGTTGAATTATAAATTACTATATACCTAAACCTTTGTGTTTAATGATGTTTTTGACAAAAATGTCGTTGACTTACAGATTATACTAAATAAATTTGAGAGAAAGTTATTAAAAAGAAAAATGTAACAAAGCACATTTCATTGCTTGAAAATGTCATATTTTAGAACTAGTTCTAGTGGTTGAAGATGAAATAACATATGTATAGGATCTTATATTTGAATCTTATTATGACTATTATATTATAAAAAAATCATGTTTTATAAATTATAATTTCTTGATCCAACTTTGCATAAAGGCACGTATTGTTTTGTTTTTAAAAGGTATTTCATTGAGTTAAATAAAAGATACTATTTATAAATTACTTTTTACTTTGATTCTTATATTAGGTGGACTTTTTTTATTTTTAGTAGAAGTGTAAATGGTTGTGGTTCAACTCAGTAACTTAACTCGATTCAATTACATTTTAATAGGTTGAATCATCGGGTTTGCTAAGATATTTTGCATTTCAAGTATTTATTTTAAAATTGTATTTTTTTTTTCTTAAAGCATTTTAAATTTAAGTTTGATCTGCCCGATCAAACTTTTGGACAGATCAAACTTGAAAGCTTTCTTTCAAGATCTAGCGAATGTAGGCTAGTTAGTTACATACTATTTTTTTTCCTTATTTTCCTTTCTCTACCCAAAAAAAAAAATTCAAGTTTGATTCTCTGCTCATTTTACAATTGTTCAATTCAACAAATACTCATTGGCGTGTGAGGTGTGACATGAATGTTGTAATGTGTGGCGTAAATGTTTCAATAATCATAAACGAAATACAAAAGCTCTATCTATAGATTTTCAATTGTGACAAATGAATATTGGACAAAGTCGAAGGTGAATTAAAGTCTTTGAACATAAAGTTCAGATTATTAAGGTAAACTTTGCGCACGAAAATATTACTGGTTTTTCCCGGTATGAAAGGTATATGATATAACCATAAAAATTAAATTAATCTAACGGTTAATACGAGTGGTCCACCGTAGACCACTATAAAGTTCCTCCACTGTAGTTTTTTTTTTAATAATCTTATTCAAAACATGTGTAAACAAACTCTAACATTTTGATATATGTCTTGATGGGTGTTGATTATTTTATCCTAATGTGATCAAAGTTAAAGGCAATATTAATAATTTTTTTTTAATTCTTCTTTGCATATTTTAAAATAAAAATTAATTTAGACTCAAATACATGTTTGATTTTTTTTAAAGTATAATAGTCGTGCAATTTTAATTTTTCAAGGCTTATATATTAATACTAACAAAAAATAATAAATGTCAATTGGAAAGAATTTAAGAAGTAGGAGAGAAAAATACACATTCTGACAATTTTTAATAGGAATAAACAAAGAAAGAATAATTTAATATTTTTAAAAAATTATAAGATATATGTCTTATAAAAATGATCAATAATTTTTCTAAGTTATGTCTTATAACATGGATTGGGAAAATTATAATTTAAAAGTATTAATTTTAAATGAGAAGGATTAAAATTGTATAATTGTGATACTTAAATGACTAAAGCCGCTCAGTTAAAATTTGAGGGATTAAAATTGTACAACTATAATACTTGAAGGTTAAAACTGCTTAATTATAATTTTGGAGATCAAAATCACACAATTATAATACTTGAGAAATGAAAAACACAATTAAGTCAATAATCTTATTTATATTTATATTTCAATAATTTATACTTTTATTTTTTAATATTTTTTGCATTGCATGTTTATTATTTTTATTTTACTTAAAGTATTAATTTCTCATTAATTAACTCATAAAATAATTATAATTATATTTTTAAATAACTACTAACTAATTAAAACAAAATTTTAAAAGCATAAAAATAAATAAATAAACATTAAAAGTTGGGCAGGAGGACTTCTTAATGTGTCAAAATCAGAAATATATAAGCAAATGTTAATATATCGAGTCTTGGGTAGGGGACTTTTGAGAAAGAAAAAAATAGTATAACAATGTACGTAATTTTTTTGTTCTATGATTGATACATTCTAATTAAATTAATTATATAAAAGGGTTGCAAAATAACTGTTTCCGTAAATATGCGACGGACGGAGATACTTGCAAGTTGCAAAAAATCTTGCATTTACAATGAGGGTTTTGTAATATTTCCTAATTAATTTTTAAAATTTTTATTTTAATTGTGAATAAAATTAATAAATAAATTATAAAAATATTCATGAAAGAGTCAAAATGGATTGGTTGAATAATGTGTATAAATTATGATAAATGTGTGGATGCCTTTATAATTTATAATTTTATACGAATAAGAAAAAAGTATAATAGTAGTTACTACTTTTCTAATTTAATAATGGAAAAAGAATCTTTGTGGTGGTGAAGACTGAAATATGGAACGCCAAACCTTTGAAGCTGACCGATGACCATACATAACCAAACAAAGTGGGATGTTGATTTTGACTAGAAAATTCTCAATACTATTATTAGTAAACTGTGTCCACGTGCCCATTATTATCACGTGCATCACCACAATCTTTCACTCTCTTTCTATTTTTATCCGCTTCTAATTATAAATTATACTAATCCTTACATTATTTAGAGATGTTTATCAAATAATTTTATTTAAATTTTATCATTATATTTAAATGTTTGCATGTATATTTTATGTTATTTAAATTTATTTAATAGTTTATTTATATAAAAGTTGATTTACTATATATTTTTAAAGAATAAATAAAAAAAATTTAATTATATTTTAATAATTATTTAGCATTGGTATATAAATTTAAGAAAATATATAATTATTAAAATAAATAAAAATCATATTTTTATAAATTCATTTTTAATACAACTGATGTAATTTATAACATGTACTCCTCTATATGCATAAATTGAAATCTATTACATGTATTCCATATTTATATATCTCTCAATCTATTTTATTTACATGTATTCCATATTTATATATCTCTCAATCTATTTTATTTATCTAAATATATATATATATATATATAATACTTTCTTGATTTTCAATTCTGAATTTTTTTATTTTTTAATAATTTTTTAAAATTATTTATTTTATTTTCAATTATTGTCTGAATTAATCTTTAATTACTCTCTAAAGTCTAAAATTACATTCATTATTTTTTTTACAAACTTGCATAACAAATCAATCACATTAAATTGTTAAAATATACTTCCTATATTCTCTAGCATTTGAAAATTGTCTCAACATGAATTATATTTTTATTTTTTAATATAATATTAATTATTTTTTCTTCTTTATAAATTATTCAGACATCACAATTGAATAATACATTTGTTAAAAAGTTAAACTATTTGAATAAAATTGTATTAAAAAATAATATATTTATTGTTATTATTAATCTATATGTAAAATTTTAAACTGCAATCATTGTAAAATGAATGAAGTGTTAGTTATTATTAAAATAAATACTTCATCTAGTCCTCATTATAAGATATAGTTTAGAAGAATTTTTTTGTCTTTTTATATAAGACATCTTATAATTTTTAGAAGATGTTAAAAAAAAATTTATTTGTCCCTATTAAAAGATGGTGATAATGTATTTTTCTCTCTCACTTTTTAAACTCTTTCCGGTTAATATTTATTATTTTTATTGATATTGGTGCATAAATTTTGATAAAAAAATAATATTTTCACTTTTTCATAAAAATTTAATGATAAGTAAAAGAAAGTAACTTTGATAAATCATAATTTTATTTTATTAGGTAGTAAAAAGATCAATT